ATATTGCCTTGTATGTATTAGCTCGGTGCTAGCGTGACAAACAAGCTAAACTGAGGTCCTCCATCCATATTTTCAGTTGCAGACGGAGTCATTTTTGTGTTCCCCTCTCTGTCATCAGTGACGAGAGGAGAATGTGTAGCGCTGAGGAATGAAAGATAGATACTATGTCACAGTTGTCAGCAAAACATAAATAAATAAAATAAGGCATAAGAAGACAAAAAAAACTGTACATAATGTGTTACGCATGGAGTTTTTTAAAAATATTATTTTAGATCAATTTCACAGCCCTAGTTTGTACATAAAAAGCTTTAAGTCTTTTTGGGTGCAGGATGCCTGATTTTACGCCTGTGCATTTTTTATAAAAAGGTCAATTCATGCTCAGATTTATCAAGTAAAATTGCAGATAAAAGTGCTTTGTTTACARTGAGTGCATACCTGCATTTCAGGATTCCACATCAGTATATCTGGAAAACTGCAGGACTGAACTCTTTCAAACTGCCTCATTCCGCATTGCTCAGTGCAAGCTTTTTTATTTTACTTTTTTAAATTTAGTTCACATATTGCAATGAGTACTTTTAAAACAAATCCCCGCTGCTGCACCGACTAAACCAAAATTRGAGCATCTGAACAAACACCTGTAGTCAAAACAGAACTGACAGAAAACAAAAGCTCAGAAAGCCACATGTTGCTCATTTCAAATAMGATTTCTGCTTTAAAGGCTGCTTCGGTTAATAATAGTAATGCAAACGTCTCTTTGCAGATGGTGACGTGTTCTTTCATGCAAACGTGTCAGATCTTTATTAGATGTCATCCATACGTGCAAAACATCTATTATTACTGAGTGTGAAAAACATAATTCTGCTAGTGCCTAATTATATCGCAGTTTAAAATAAAAACAGACATTTATCCACATTAATGCGTAATGATCGACTGGTTGCAGCAGCTTTAATTAGGATTTATTAATAAAACAAGCGGCAGAGCTTTCTTTGAGAGAAAACAACTTACATGATGGTAATGTTGAGCAGCTCCTTGAAGGCATGGCTGGGAACTCGTTTCAAGGGCAGGTGGGTGAGTCTTCTGTAAAATTCATGAGCAAGGCATTTAAATCCACAGTTATACTGCTACATAAAAAAGGAAATTGAAAAGAAGGTGCAAAAATGTCTCTTTAACTTGCAGTTTAGTGTTACAGTTAAGAGAAAATGTATGAGAGGAGATACAAAAAAGTATCAAGAGACAAAGTTGATGGGTTCAGGGAAWAAAAATAAAAAAACCAAAAAGGGGACTTTTAATTGCAGCTGAAGCAGAAAGTTACTTACAGTCGATGCCCAGATGTTGCTCCAGTCTTGGCCAGCTGTGTGTCTCTGTTGCACTGGAACGAGTCGGCGGTGCAGCGGCAGATGGGCGGACAGGTATAAGCCCCCGAGAGGCGCGCGGTCGGGATAGCGGACAGCACGAGCAGGAGCCAGARCACCCGGAGAGCCATGATGTGTCACACCGGGCCAGGGCTCAGTTTAAAACCACTATTTAAATATATAAATAAAAAAACAACAACACACACAAACTCTGCTGCGTCTTCCTCAAGTAGATGATAAAACACTACTCAGGAGGAAAAAAAAGAAAAGAGAGACTTTATCAAAGCAGGCCAAAGGTACAAGGCTAAACTGTCTCCCTCTCTCAGGGAGCGTTGGATCTGCTGCTGCCAGAAGGTGTCGTCGTGATTTTGAACTTGCTCACCCCCTGCAGAAGTTTTATCAGACTGAAACACTGGCAGGTTTTTTTTTCCCCGTGGCTGAGCAGCACAGATGTGACGTTTAGTGGGAGGTGATCTTGATAGCTCTGTCATTTGTCTGTCATATTGTGGATTTGGTGACTTCGATTGTCTGTTAGCAAAATATCTCGTGGACGAGTTGRAATGAAACTCTCAGAAAGTCATCGCTGGATGTAAATCTACAGCTGATTAGTTTTTGGAGTGAACACAGTTCAAGATGGCCGCCACAACAGCTAATCAAACTTAAACACATAAACGAGTTTAAATCAGTCAGTTTTACATATATTGAGCCAGAATTTGGTGTGTTAGTAGCTGAGAATTATCTACACCAGATCTCCAAGTGCTTAAAGAATGAGTAATATTTTTCTTTTAAACTTTAGCATTAGGTGTTGGAATCAACCCATTGTCTGTTAGCAAAATATCTCATGAACCACTAAATGGATTTTTATAAAACTCTCAGAAAGCAATCACTGATTATAAATCTACAAATGTTACCTTTTGGAGTCACTCTGATGCAAGCTGGCCACCACAGCTAATTAATCTTAGCAAACCCAAAATGGGCTATAATGTAGTAAATCTCACACATATGGAACAAAAATTTAATATGYTAGTAGCTGAGAGTCATTCCCATCACATACTTGAAGTGCTAACAGATCATGTAAAATCTTAGTTGGAATCTTTGGCATGCAAGGCAACACGTGTGCTACTTTTAAATTTGCAAATGTAAAGAACGCCTGCAAAACAATTGTAGATGATAGATTTTGAGTCCCAATGCATTGTGTCRTTGTGTTGAGCAACAGCTAAATTTATCTCACACTGCACATCATTAAAGACACACGAAGAAGCTAGTTTGCAYGTTTGTCAAACTAAAAGCGTGTCGCCGAAATCGTTAGTTTAACCTCTTCTGCTGTCTGTGACCCTGACCCCATTTAGCTCTCTCTCTCTCTCTCATGCTGCTTCACCGTGCCTTTTTGTCCCACGTCAACAGAGCAGTGACATCTTCTTCCTACTGCCACAAAGTAACAACCACACACACACGGACACTCAGTTCCCTGGAGAGGTCACTGCCCAGCACTGTTTACCAAGACTCTTGCATCCCCTGCAAGATTTACAACCGAGCACACGAAGGAAAAAAAGTGACAGAGGGAGGCTAATTTATGCAAGTGGACTGGAATCTGCCCACGTCTTCATGCTTACCACCATGCTGTGCATCACTTCACACCAAGYAGGTCACGCACAGCAGGAAGAGAAAAGCATACAGATTTGATTCGCAAATCAAAGCTTGCATCAACCCACGATGTCACGCCTGCCAGGCAAAGACAGCAGCAAACAAGCTGTTCTGGCTATTTTAACAGCTTCACTGTGTCAATTGTTAGATTAARGCCACTTTTAGTCACATTTTACCTGTTTGATCAGGTTTAACGGCACAACCTGAGCACACCGAGCTGGAACATGAGGGTAAAAAAAAATGCTCATTTTGAATATCTGACTGTGTGGTATTAATTTTAARACAAAATTCATTTAGTATCAAATAATAGTTTGATATGAAAGGATTTTTAACCGACCCTGCTGTGCTTATTTATTCATATATTTCTGTCCTTGTGAGTTGCATTAAAACAAGGTCACATGCTTTCATTAGAAAAATCACCCACCACATTTAATGCCAGTTTTAGACTAATCTAAAACTTAGAAATGATGGAGCAGTAGACTTTTTTTTCAAATCTCAGTGACTGCCACATAAAAATTTAACTCAATATTAGTAAAATTGACTGAATTATTACCATTTTTGTGCATCATAGCTGTGGCAGCCATCTGAAATTGGGCTGACCTTGTCCTTCATTTTTCTTTTTAAAAATTCCTTAAAATCTGTTTAGTGATTTGTGAAATATTTTTGCTAATGTTACATGCATATGTAAAAAAAAACATTATTGTTCCTCCTTCACCATGGCGGTGAGTAAAAATGAGTAAAAGCTGCAGTTTTTATTAGTTTTCTCTGTTTGTTTGGGACATTTATCTGAACTGGGCAGGTTTTATTATAACATGTTCCACAGTGATGTCATTAAATCAGGGGAAAAGCTTCAAATAASAAAACCAAGAGTTTTGAGCAGCTTAGAAGCAGCCTTTTCTGTAAATCGATACAATTTTCTCATATTTCTTGACATCCCTATTGATTTTTTTWAATGTTTATTTTCACAGAATGAGGTTTTTGGGTTTATTTCTTCTCGGTCACTGGCATGTTATAACTACAGTGTTACAATGTCAGTGTTAAACTTTTCAGAGTCAATATAACTCCRCTAGTGTTGTTTCAACACTTAATAAAGTAAACTGATTTCCAGTGTTGGTGTTAATTCACAGTGTTGATTTCCTCGGTGTTGTCTCAACACTGGACAGTGATGAATAAGCTCCGCCCACCATTAAGTCTTACATACTTAGCAGTGTTGTTATACAACACCATGCAGTGTTTTTATACAACACCATGCAGTGTTTTTATACAACACCATGCAGTGTTTTTATACAACACCATGCAGTGTTTTTATACAACACCATGCAGTGTTTTTATACAACACCATGCAGTGTTGTTATACAACACCATGCAGTGTTGAAAAAAGAAAGCATTCTGAAAAGCCCCAACCCTCTTCCACCTCATGTCAGACCAATATTTTGACAGCAAGGAATGCTGGGTAATCTTGTGGAAATTATGTGTTTGTATGTTTATGACTATTAAAGAAGTTCATAAGTGCAAAAATTAGTTGTTCTGCTCAGTTGTTTTGTTCAAGTTTGTCAGTTGATCAAGTTTAAGTTTGTGTTATTGGCCATAAATTAACACCATGAATGAGAGGTACTTCCTGGTGTGTGAAGGGTGACTCCATTATCCTGACAGTACAGTGTAATGTTAATGCAACACCAGAAAGAGTTGATCTGAACTCTAGAGTGTTGCTGTGTATGACATCTCATAGTGTCTGTTTTACACCCCTCTACACAGRGAAAGAGTAAATAATAAACACAGTCAAGTGTCAAATTAACACTTATAGGAGATAAATGAACCTCCAGTGTTAACCATCAATAACTCAATGCAGTGTTGAAAATAGTCAATTTGTCACCACAGTGGAGTACCTTATTAACTCTTCTTAGAATCATAATTACTCTTAGTTATTTGGCTCGAAGTGTTAAGTTTTGTTAACACTGTACGGTGTTAGTCAGTGTTAATTTTAAACACTGTTTAGAGGTAAATTGTACTCTGAAAATTTAACACTATGGAAAGAGTTAAACTGACACCAATTTAGATACGGACCAAATAGACTCAGTGTTAAACACAGTGTTAAATTTAACTCTTCAAGTGTTGAATTAACACTGAAACACTCCTGCCCGGGTCCTGAACAGACTCTGAAAATCCACCTTATGTTTCACCTGTAGAGGACTGAGGTCCTGTTTACACTGCGCAGAGTCGCAGTCTTCTTACCTCAGATCGTGTCGACGCCTCAGTAGATAAACCGTCCTTTTCTCAGAATGAACCTTGTTGTTTTTTTGTTGAATAACACAAACATGATCGGGTTTTAGTCTGAAGCTCTTTATAAAAGGCAGGGATCTGTGCATTCTTTTAAGGCGTGTGTCAAACTCAAGGCGGGCGGGCCAAATCTGGCCCTCGTTACCATTTTATTCGGCCCCTAAAGTAGTACTTGAAATTTGAAATAGTTTAAAAGTTGGCACTGCAGTACGGTCTTCTTATAACAGTTGGCCAACTTTCAGAGACACAAGAAAAAATAAGCTAATTTTCTTAGTTTAATCTTTTCCCCTTATTTGTCAGGTTATGTATGTGCTAAATGCAGATTTTTTGTTTTGCTATAAGAATAWTTTGTTCAGAACCTTTTCCTTGGCTTGGATCAAGATATGAGTTTTGGCCCCTTTGTGTGACTGAGATTAAATGAATGTTAGGGCTTTATTACATTTATTTTACTCATTTATATGGGCAGAACGTTGCTCTTATGAACAACCTGGTTACTGGTTGATTATTTATTTCACTCTGAACTCCTCACAGCTGGGTTAAGAGCTGGCGGCCTAATCCAGACCTGTGCAATAACAGGCAGTAGGTGTGATCCCACCCCCTTCTGTCTCCTTCACTTCCTTTTTSTTTCTATTGTTAGGTGTTTCTTATTTTAGGCCCGAGACTCTTCTTACCTATGGGTGAAAAGGCTGTTGACCTGTCAGCGACCTGCTGGTTATCGCAGCGCAGACGCGAGGGCGGGGCGAGAACGCAACATAGGACGGCGTGACACAAAGAGATGCCAGCCAGGCAACATCAGACAGTTCAGCAGCTGGCATCAAACCGTTGATTTTAAAAATAGACCACAGGACACAGAAATAGCACAATCAGTGAAAACGCACAAGGGATGTGTAGTCATTAAAAGCAGCAATTGGTGTTAAATGCTGTTTACTCGTCGTTTTCACGAGAAGTGACATTTGCAGGGAGAAAGTTGTGCAGTGGAAACACATCAGTGTGGCATTTGAGGTAATTGGCAGTATTTCTTAGGAGGTCATATATGGAAAATATAGAGTAGCCTTTATTTTGCTTTTACTTAATCTTCAGAATCCACTGAATAGATGAAAAGGAACACACCATGTGCTCTTGATCAATCGGTCGTTGCTGTGGACGGGGCGTAAAGTGAGTCCATGACATTTATAATGAGGCGACTGTCTGCATTAATCTCGACAAGCACTCGATACAGCTGCTGGTGATGAATTGATTGGGTTTCTTGGGGATTCCACACGCTGTCAGGGAACAAGGCGTCGMGGGATCAAATCTAACTCAGGATCTTTGTTGCATTTTTTCCCCACATCCTGACTTTTCTGATTTTCTTGTCATTTTTTTAAAAGAAGCTGACATGAAACCCAAACCAAAACACTATATAACAAAACAGTATGGAGTGCTCCACACTACTTATATATTTATAAAAAACAAGCTGTCATTTTCACGTCTCAGCAAGCAAACATTGAAGCGTCAACAGATGGAGAGGAACTCATTAAATGGTTTGGTCCTCAGTTGCYATGCTTCTCAGGATCTGCAGGCAATTTTTGACACAAATGAGGGAAAAAATGATTGCACAAACTTACATTATATGTCAGAAAAATGTATTTGCTGTCCAGAAAGAACATTAGAGCAAGCTCAGTTTGTCAATAAATATTTC